AAACTTGGAGAACTACGAAAGCCATCACCCAGAAGATACAAGTGTTTATTAATAGGTGTCTACATAAAACACTTCGGATCCATTGACCAGAAACGATCAGCAACAACCTAGTGTGGGAGAGAACAAGTCAGATCCCAGCGGAGGAAGAAATCAGAAAGAAGCGCTGGAAGTGGATAAGACACACATTGATGAAAGCACCCAATTGCGCCACAAGACGACCACCACTTGAACTCCTCAATGCCAAAGTAGAAGAGGAAGAACACATTACGGCGAGAAATGGAGACAGATATGAAAAGAATGAACAACAGTTGGACAGAACTAGAAAGAAAGGCTCAGGACAGAGTGGGTTAAAGAATGCTGGTCAGCGGCCTGTGCTCCATTTAGAGTAACAGGCGTAACGAATTAAGCAAGTAAATTTATCATAAAAATAACTAAATAATGTAGAAGAAATTTATACACTGGTTTGTTTTTCCATAGTAATAGAAAACATGACAGTTAATTAGATTAATTTCTAACTTTCAACTAAATCACACGATATTCAGATTCCAAATAATAATAATAATAAGATGAAAGTTTTTTTAAGAATATAACTCCAATACATTAATAGCATTTTCCTGTTTTATACTCCAGACTACTAAGAAACATGTTATTACGTATATTAATAATAATGATATTGATTTATCATAATAATCGTGTACTTTATCATAAACACTTTCATACTTGTCGACTTTCAGTGGTGTATTCCTAATTGATACTTTATGTGTGTATTCAGTGTACACTTTAAAAAAATGCTGTTATCTTAAAAGTAGATAACTTTAAATATATGCTACTGAACTGGGCTATTGACATCAGAAATCATGCTTCACTTAAATACATTTATTGAAAAAAAACTAGTCTTGATTTCTTTCATGATTTTTTATTTGATTTAAAAGATCTTTTCATTATTACATTTACATATAAAGAGAGAAATAAACAAATTGCTATACAAAAGAGCTGGTATAGATAGATAGAATGTTTTCAAAGATTATTAATTACTATTACCATATTACTATATAGGGATACGATTTTTGAACACTATACACACATATTTGTTACCAAATATGGTTTTAAAATGTTTTCAATACTCCATAATATATTATTATCGACACCATGTAAAATGTATCGATCAAATATTTCGTCAGATATTACGTTATTGATTGCAGAACCGTTAGTAGTATAAATTGTAAATATCACAGACCAAAAAATGGATTTTTATGGTACAACAGCATTGATTTGTCGATGATAGTAATCATATATAAAAAGAGAAATGTTAATTGAAAATGATATTGGAGTAATGAAGATGTATATTTCAGAACTCTTAAGATTGAATCTGGATGTCAGTTATTTAGATTACTAATACTGCATATGATTTTTTAAGATTTAATCTAATATCAATTATGACGATTAGTATATTAGGAGAGTCTGAAACTTCTGAAAATCAGATATCACTTATATGAATATATTACTTAACTTGAAAAATGTTTATCAGAATAACAAAAAACAAGTCAATAATCAGAGCCAGACATTGTTACAAGTAATGCACAATGAACATTTAACATGAAATCGCATAGTTATCGGATAGCATTATTGAAACATAATCATCAGAGTACAAACATACTAAAGGACTTGACAGAATGATTTCAGTTCCAGCAAGGTAATCAATTAACATAGACAAGTTCGACTTCATAACTAAATATGATTTATTCTAGATAATCTTAACTTTTATTCAGTACTTCTCCTTTTAATCTATAAAATAATCATCGAATAAAGAGTTGTTTTCTTTGAGTTTATATTCATTACATCATTTATCTATGCAGTAATTATATTGATTGCAGTAATTATACATATCACCTTATATAATACATATTTTGCAAGCAAATAATTAAATACAATAAAGTATTTGAAACAGTTGTGCAATATATTTAGTATTTTCTAATTGATAGATAAAGGTTTTCCATATTTGTCTAATTAATTAAAATATAATTTAACTTAATGAAAATTGAAATATCATTGGTATTCGCTTAACACTTGGCAGACATTTAAACCAATTTCTAAACAAATAACATATCCATATAAACTAAGATTTTGAGAAGGATTAAATCAATGAAATTTATCATTTTACGAAAAAAGGTTTTAGTAGGATCCTTTATTTTGTCGTCATTTAGATCGGACGATGTTGTCGAAAGGGCTCTCCAATTTAGTGGCCCGACATCTGACTCCTACTTGATCGTATGAATGATTGTTATTGAAATATATATGTCGCCTATCCTCGTATATAATCATCAAATTAAATCACGTTAGTCAATAACGGAATTAATTAAGTCAAATAACGAGAATGAACTTTTGAATACATATATTTTGTATATGAAGCGAATGGAATAGGGAGAAACGAAACGACTTTCAGTGGAGATGGACGGTAAGCCAATTCCCTTTTAGTCAAGCGTTAATCAATACTTATAGTCACACAAAAATAGGTTAACGACATGTGATGAGTAATGGGATAATAAGTGTACACACACGTATACTCTGATATAAAAACAGTCAAGATTGAAAAGCAAATAATTAACAAGGTCAGAATGTGACTCATATAGAGAATGTATAAATTGGTTTGTCCGAAAATTAGAATAGGGTATATGGGCTTGACATGGTAACTGACACTACGGCGTAGTGATTGAGCACTACTAGGTTCAGAAAAAATAACTGCCTATTCACAAGATTTTATTGGTATAAAAATTTAATTACTTTACTCAAGTCAACTTAGATCAAACAGAAGAACAGGTGAATTATATGACGTAAATCTTCAGTTTTATTTTTGAGTATCGTGGATCATGGATGCACACAGCCGAGGAGTCCTATACTAGAACGAAATGGCCGTCTAGTACTTACAGGTTTTCTCTATATATATATAAGCTACTGTTTATGAGTCGTAATTATGCATGATTTATTACTTAGGCAAGATTATAATTGTTCCTTTCTTTTTTTATACCAGAATATAGTTCTAAATGTCGATATTTTTATTCATTTACCTTTCGAAATACTTATATTTTCTTTATAAAACTATTATTTTACGATATGTAGTGTCGGTTGACATGTTAACCCCATATACCTTATTCTGGCTTTCGAACAGCTCAATCTATTCATTGTACTTGAGTCACATTTCGACTGTTTTTATATGAGCGCATATGTGTTTATACATTTCTTATCCCATTCATCAAATATCTGTAACTTATTTTTGTGTGACTATAAGTATTGATTAACGCTTGACTAAAAGGGAATTGGCTTACCGTCCATCTCCACTGAAAGTCGTTTCATTTCTCCCTATTCCATTCGCTTCATATACAAAATATATGTATTCAAAAGTTCATTCTCGTTATTTGACTTAATTAATTCCATTATTGACTAACGCGATTTAATTTGATGATTATATACGAGGATAGGCGACATATATATTTCAATAACAATCATTCATACGATCAAGTAGGAGTCAGATGTCGGGCCACTAAATTGGAGAGCCCTTTCGACAACATCGTCCGATCTAAATGACGACAAAATAAAGGGCCCCACTAAAAGTTAACGACTATTTTTATTTACTTCTTGAACATTCTCACTCTTATTTAAAGATTATACTGTAAATAATCACAAATTTAAACTTTTTAACCACTGAAATATAAAGTTTTACTTATGAGTAGTAATTTCGAAGAATATTAACCTTAGATACCTATAAACTGATTATTGGTAGCTAATTTTGTGTATTATTATTATTATTACTATTATTATTATTAATCGAAATGTTTCAATGAATTTCTTATGTAAACACTTGAATTATTGATTCTCTATTGTGATCCATTTAAATTTGTAGTGATGAGTTAAAGTTAACAAAATTTACTGAATCTTTATTCTCATATTTTTTTGGTTACAATCCAGTATAACATAGGTTTAAATTTCATAGAAGAATCACTTCATTCAAGCTTACAAATGTACCATACTACATATATATTTGTAATAACATAGAAAAGCAAACAAACAAAAAGTAAACAACCTCTGAATAATGCTATAACAGTCTAGTTTTATATCAAAACGACAATCTGCCTTTTATGGTTATAATGATCATTTAAAATGCAATTGAATTTTACTTGTCATTTAAATAAATAAGAATTTGATAAGTTTTATTTGATTCTATCAATCTTGATAGAATATCGTTCCCTGAGCTGGATGGTTTGGTCGTGGAGCTTTCTGTTGGGATATTCTCCTGAATATCCCAAAAATTATCCTGTTAAGCCTAATGCTATCCTTGGACATGAAATGGTATCATCTTATTGGTCAATATTTGTTTAACGTGTCATTTTCCTACTGGCCATTATTGTACAATGTTATTTTCTATTTTATGGTACGTTGTGGTCTGCTTGACTGGTATAAAAACAAAGTATGTTTGAAATATAATGATTCATAAATCCGAGGCTGAAACTTGTGTTCTGGACTCAACTGGCTGGGTTATACAGGGAAGTGAGACCAATCAGAACCCTAGGCCATTCTACGTGTTTGTGCGTCTTTGGTCGGATCAATAATTCGCTACCCCTTTAATCAGCAGCATTTATTTTTTACAGTCATAACACTTTCCTCGTTCTTCTGAACGACATCATCAGCACAAACTTCAGATAGAATTGAAGTGTTCGAATTTCTCCATATGCGTTTCACAGCTTGTTCTGTACACCTCGACGTTGATTGGTTCTTATTGACCTTAAATTTGTCATTGTTTACACCTTTGTTTTGGTTGTGTCTTTGAAGTTTGTGCTGATGATGTCGTTCAGAAGAACGATGGAAGCTCCGCGATCAAACCATCTAGCTCAGAGAACAAAACTCCATCAAAATCATCCACCTGAACTACAAATCTTTTCTACCATCTCAAAATTCTATCAATCTATTAAATCATAAATATTATTAGTTATTTAAAAAAATCGATATAGAGAACATTTATCTTTATTATTATTTTCTTTTTAATATCAAAATAATACAATACTAGTTTTATATCCAATTAATTTTAAAGAAATCATCTTTTGTACAGCAGTGAAGTTGGCAAAATAAAAAAAAACAAACAGAAGTATTCAACAAAATATAAACTTTGATATTCAAATAAAATGTAATGCATTTGAATGGCTTTTGCTATTTTATACAAATCATCATGATCAACATCATTGTTATCATCAATAATCCGAACAAACGTACATCATTTAATTTATAAATGTTTGGGACCGTAAGAAGTAGATTCTGTGTCTTTATCGATTGAACTTTATACCTCTTAAATAACTCTGTCTGTTAGTCTTACATAGAAAGAAAGCTGAACTCATTTTAACTAGATAGCATCAGAAGAAAATAAAGATTGAAAATATCCTGGAGGATAAGTATTAATAATATCTATAAGAACTTTAAGATTATGCAAGTAATATTAATTAAAATATTTTTATTATGTTGTTATTGCGCTATTTCGACAAAGGGGTGATGGTCTTCTTAGACCAGATGGTCTTCGAAACTTATCATTCGACCGATGTTTTATTATTTTATGAAATCTATCGGTAAATGGCTTTTGTTTTAAACTTAAAGATGGGCTTTTTGACAATTTAATTCCAGGATTAATATCTATTTGTCGTTCACCAGATTCATATGGCACATCTTGATTATTGAACCAAACACTTTGACGCCGATTTTCTGTATTACTGTGAAGATATTGTTTACGTCGATAAACACGTTTAAATTCAGAGATAACCTGCAGTATAACAAACAAAGATTTATTGAAATTTTAATGTATACATAATTATTGTGAGAATATATAATCCATTACAAAATCATAAATTTAAGTCATATAAATTTACATGTACTCTATTCGTTTTTCTTAAGAATATATGGTTGGACTTGTGTGAAGTTCTATGTTGCTTCTGACTAACTGACTGATGTTAAAATTACCAGCTATCCATCAAATTATAGTTATAAGTAATAAAATGAGTTCAGGGTATACTGAAGAAAATTTGTTGTTATCAAAATCCATCACCTATATTTTAACTATCTCAGAAGCTCCCATTAACCAACCAATTGTACTATCGTTTTCTCTTGGAAGTACTTTTCCACCAAGTCGTGTGTATAAGTTTAATTAACAGTAGTATGTAGCTCAGCAGCTTTAATTTTATTTCAGGCAATATATACATATGCAGAAATTGTTTCAAAATAATTTGTCTTTATTTGAGGAGTTTTTACCTCAAAATTTTATTTCTACCTTTGAATAGAATACTGTATGAGCAATGTATAAGCAATCATAGTCTGATAAATGCTAGAAAAATTGAATACTGTAGACAGTCAATGCATCCTGTCGTTGAACTCTTAGACTGTTATGCCCAGAATTTTTGTACAGCTTTCATATTTGTGATATTACACAACCAGCAAACATTATCATTGCTAATAGCTGTCTCAGAGATAATTAACTAAGGTTAGGAAAGTGAAATATTGGATGCAAAACCAGTAGCTTATAGGTTATGTGCTCAGATTGTGAACTCAAAGTTCAATGTTTCATCACTGTTTCGGTCGTGTATGAGCAATGTTCATAAGTTCTATGCTAAGACGAAATAACTGTTTGTTACCTTTTGATGTTTACCGGTGGTTTGACTAAAGTCGCTCAACATTATAATATACAAACTGAACTGTGAGAGGGTGTAGTTGGATCATAATATGCTTATTTAACATAGATGCAACGATATTTTTTTCAGAGGAGTATACATCAATGAGTATAAACACATTACAATTATTAAAACTTACCTCTTTATTGATAAAACAAAGTAGAATGGCAACAAATGAACCCTGAAAATCATTAAAAAATATTATTGCAATATTTAGGTAGCGTGACTGCAATAAGCATCTTAGCCTAAGAACGAAACAACTTAATTCAGCATTACTACTCGGTTTTAACTGTAATCATCTAGTCATTTTAAGAATAAATAATAATGCTTTCAAGTTAACTGCTTGAATAGGAATGCTGAGGAAACCAAATTATCCAACTGGATTCATATCGTTTATCATATATATCTGGATACAAGTTTGTGATTAAATGGAATATTGAAATAGGGTGGATATGAGCTAGTTTTTGCTAATGGCGGATTTGGAAAAATTATGCTTACAGTTTATGAAGTACGTGTCAGAGTTAACAATACTACCAATGCAAATATAACAAAAAATGCTAAACAAATGCAGATGTGCTATGAAGGACTGTATCATCTATATTCCGTTATCACCACTTAAAATAGGCTCTTTAAGTTTGTTTACATTTTCGTCTCTTTAATTCACGTTTGAAATACGAACAGTGTTTGTGCTTTGCTAAGAAATAGTACAATTACTTATTATTCCTTTTGCGAAATGACAATATGTCAAATAGAAATAGAATCACAGTAACGATTACTTTCTTCGTCTGAATACATTCGTTAGTTGTTTATTTAGATTTCATGCTTGCTTAAATGTGGTGAAATATTTCATACTTAGAACTTGGTAACAATTTTTTTGAGATATATGATATCCTATTATCTTCAAACTAACTGCAGATGAATAAACACCAAGATGGTGATAGTTATTCAATAACAATTTTTATTTTACTAGTAACACTGATCTGACGAAATACCTATACTTGCTTACTTAACAAACTTTGTTTCATGCATTGAAAATACGTGTCTTAAACTTCTTATAGATGACTGATGCTGAATATAGAAAATCATGTCTGTCAGATTAAATACATTTAAGCAAATATAAACTGCGGTTATATACCAAATGTCATTCAATATATATTTTGCTAATACTAAGTATTAAATAATATCAAGAAACAAGGCAAATCAAATTCTTTATATACTTTTACTTAGTTACCTACTTAACTCTGCTACCCTTATTCGAGCACAATCCACCGACAAAGAATTACAAACCTACACTGTCCTGGGCTGTCCTTGCTAATTGTTTCTATTTGCTATTCATTTTATCGATATTTGCCTATACAGCCCTATATCATATGTTCTCAGGCCTTGCTCCTTTTCGTTTACCTTCACGATTCAAAATTACAGATTGCTTCGTGATGAAACTTGATCATTTCCTCAAAGTTTGTCCAAGTCACCTCCAACATCGTCTCCCTATTTCCTTTTCACATGGAAGCTGCTTTCACTTCTCCCACAGTAGGCTGTTGCTGATGGTATCCAATCAACGGACATTGAATATCTTGTGTAAACAAATGTTTATAAATACTTGTACATTTTGATGACGGTTGTAGTAGATTTTCAAGTTTCATCTCCTTATAGTAGAACTGTCTTGATAATCGTATTAAAGATTCTGATTCCGGTGTTGGTTGATGGTTAAGTATCATATGATCTTCAGTTATAGGAATTCTACCCATGCCTTGCAAATCCTTTCTTTCACATCTGCATCATATCCTCCTTGTTTATCTGTAATGCTGCCTATATACGTATGAATAGGTTTCTACGTTTTCCAGAGTTTCTCCATCAAATATGATTTGGTTGGTGCTTGTTTTGTTACATTTTATTATCTTGATAATCTTTATCCTTACTGTTTTGGAGGCGGCTGCTACGGTGGTATTAAATACTTTCTATCTCACTATAAAATATATTCTTTTCTATTGATATTTTCATGTTTAACCTTTCATCGTATTTCTTTAAACTAATTTCTTTAGTCTAATTCATGCTTCCTACATGATTAACTTTAATTAAACGAATATATACGGTTACCAATGTATACTAAATTATGAATTTGATTAGGATAGACCAACTTTATTACATCATATATGATCTGAATTTTGATTTCCCTGAGGTTTTCTAATACTTATTTATTAATGAATAAATAATGTTTTTCTAAAAACAACTGTCAACTCTGATTAGTTTTAAAACAGATTATTAAAATGATATAGAGTCAGTGTTTACCTGAAAAGCTTCCATTATCTGTTCATAATAAAGTTTAATTATTTCAAGTAATCCAGGTCCATTAGTATGTGTATTAATTTGCATTAAATTTAACGGTATTAAAAATAGATGATATAGACCAAATACTATCACAAGCACTGAAGTAGATTTCAACAATGTCCTATAAATTAAAAATGCAACAATACAATAGAAATTAGTTATACTATATGATAAATAAGATGTGATTCATTGAAAGGAATCATTTCACAAATATAACTATAACCAATTTGTTTCTTGTCACTTAGATATTTGAATGATAATATGACTATAAGTATTTAAATTGATGTTTATAAATGGTTATTTGAATGTTGTTGAAAACAATATACTGTACACTGACGAGTACACACTATATGTATGCACTTTAATATGAAGTAGTGTAATCATTATTAGAATTATGTTCTTAATGATGATTGATATTTGTTTAGTGATTTCAATCCAGATCATGTTTAGTGTTTGATGTAGCAATCAACAAATAAAATCCTGTAAGTGAAGTGTTTTTACTTGTTTAAATGAACTATATATTCACTCATTTTTTAATAGTACTTTATTTACAGCTTCTGTTCTGATTTCATGAAGGATTATTTGTTATAACAAGGTTAGTAATGCAGATATTTATGTTTTAGCAAGTGCTAAATATCAGTTTGAGGTTTTGTGGAGGTAAGAGAATTTCCATAGTTTTTAAATCACGAGTCGACCATCAACGAAACCCCGGAAGTATTTGACGGGCATTCCTGGTATGGGAATGTTTAGCAGCAGGCATCATTGAACAAATCACAGATAAAAGCCTTGCGCACGAACTCTAGGCTATTGAGCTGGCATTCAAAGATGTCAATGTTTAAGTGCAATCAGTTCACAAAATATTATGTGATCATGATCCATCACCTGGAATCGATAACTATCTCAGACTCGGCTCAGTAGTATAGAGGTTAGGCGTTGACATACGCTAACGAAAGCCCTGAGCTCTGTTTCTGGTTTTGAGATCATGGATACGAGCTGCTGAGAAGTACTATACCAGTACAAAATGTCCTTTATTGTTTCTAATTTTTCAAAAGTAGTTTAACTAAGGTCAGTTTTTGGTTTGAAAACTATAAAAAGTACTATATATTTAATCATTATTTATGATATTACGGTATGAAAAGTCGAAATTAGATTGATTTACTCATAATGATTTTTCTTCCACATTACTTCCGCTCTAATTCAATGAAATGATTACTCAATGTAGTATTTGTTACTGTTTTCCCGTATGACATTTTATTCTGTATAACGTATGATATTCTTGTATCCAATTAACATGAACTATGCTCAGCATGACATGTAGCATATGAAAGTGTTTTTTATATATGTGACTTCATCCTAATTATTAATCTAAATGGGTGTAAAATCAATATATAAATAAGTGTTTTTTAGACTAGGGTCGTCATTTTTGTGTTCTTACTTCCGCGTCTTGGGAACTGAAGTGGTTCATCGCTTTACAAGTATACGTGATAGGCGATTGCGACATAACAATCGGCGACGACCAGGTATAACATTTGTTGACGCAGTCAGAACAGTCAACCACTGGTCATAACAATTTATCACAACATTATATGATTATTAAGATAAACCTATGAGCTGAAAGCTAGCTGATATACGTTAACTAGTTCTGGTTATCTATGGTAATCGTGGAACTAGTCAAACAATAGACGGACTTCGTTCAGTTTGTATAATGTAACTAAAAGTATATACTTAACAGTTATCGTTTAGAACATACTGAATAAAAAAACGAATAAATGATGATTTTCGAATCATTCCACTTGTGGTCATTATTGAATCGTAGTTCACAAAGGTTGTTATTGACTAAAACGTACAATATCTGCAAGGATAGTTGTTACTAATCGTGACATTCGCATTCAAATACGGTTTACACGGTGAGATATAAAACAGTTAATTACCCATTAAAGTTTCATAGAGTAAGTTATGATATATTTAACATAAGTTAACTTATTTAGGGCGCTATTCAATAAGAAAAGTTTTTATTATCTCCTTCATTTTCTTAATTTTGCAATATAATTGAAAACTGTCATAAATTACATGTCAGTAATTGTATTTGATAAAATTTTATTAGTTTTTATGTGAACTTTGACTACCTATCAAAATATCATAACAGAATACAATACAGTTCAACTGAATCATATATATTCTGTAACATGAAGCACAATTACAACACTAAGCCTTTTGATATCATTTATAAAATCTAGCTGAAGATTTCGAAAGATAAAAGCCTTAATCTACATTACACTGTTTGTAGTTCAATTGTCCACAATGTAAAACCTGAGTTGTGTGTACGTAAAAATAATTTGTAAGATCTTTTGCCCAAACATGACTCAAGCGTTATTTTCTGGATGAATTAATTAATTGACGAGGTTTCTGGGTTCTGTAATCACGAATAAAGAGGTAAACAACTAATAACGTTTTTTTAAAAAATAATAATCAACGTTTCAATGTAGTCTATTTCTTATAAGCGATATATGAATACAAACGATTTCTCCAATCACAATCAAAAATCTAAAATAGATTTTTTAATACCATCACATCAATGAACCATCAATTCTCAGTAAGTTTCTAGTACTTAATAGTAATGAATAGTTCAAAGCACTCATAAAACAGAACCAGTCAAATATGAAAATATTATGAGCTGGTTATCTTTAAATTATCAGATGAACGAATCAATGAAAGAAGCAACAGATATTCGCTTTGTATTCTTGTATTCTTGCATACTTGAGATTAAAGTAGAATCAAGATTCACAATTATGTTTACATCACTGATATGGTTTTGTTCAATAATCATATAATTTTAAGTTATTTAAAATTATTATTACAACAGGGATTTCCAGGAATTTTCCGGATTTCATGGTTTATTGAAATATGAAACCACTGAGTGTCAGCTTCGTTTGAATATTGAAAATTTGGTTCGATTCCAGATAGGATCATAGGTTCTGTCTTTTAAGAAGTCCCATTGTGGAACAAAGTCACTGTCCAATACTCCATGATTTTAAATTATTATTCAACCGAGATCCTTTCATGATACAAATCATGAAATACCGAATTCGAGTTTTTGGTGTTAAATATTTCCAGTTAATTGAAAATACAGGTAGTCAAAATAATCCTTATAAAAAATGCAGTATATATATGACTCTCTATAGACTATATTATCAAGAGTTCTTCAATAATAAAGTAGATATAGAAAATTTACAGTACTTCATATTAAAGTAAGTTAATGTTGATAACTTTTCTTCATTTGTATTCTGTAATTAACATATTGACTGTAAATTAACTAAATCTTATGTAATTTATTACATACCTTAAACGTTTGGCATCACTCATTGGTTGCGATTGTGTTTTGTTAAATATCACCCGTAATAAATTGATGAAAAATGCCAAGTTAAACTGTATGTAAATAAATATAAAAAAATAACCATGATTGCATCCCATAATATATACATATATTGCGTAATGATTAAATTTATTTTATGCCAATAAGTGCGTATTCGAATATATCACTGATCAAAAACTATTATGTAAGCAGATGTAAAGTTAAGGAATGACGAAGTAAAGGCAGAATTCCTACAAGTGAAGAACATGTGGGACTTAAAACAACTGTTAGTCAAATTTGGAGTAAGAATCCTTAATACGATTGTCAAAACAGTTCTACTATAAGGAAATGAAACTTGAAGATCTACTACAACCGTCATCAAAATGTACAAGTATTTATAAACAATTATTTACACAAGATACTCAATGTCCGTTGAATGGATACTATCAGCAACAGCCTACTGTGGGAGAAGTGAAAGCAGCTTCCATGTGAAAAGGAAATAGGGAGACGATGTTGGAGGTGACTTGGACATACTTTGAAGAAATAATAGAGTGGCATCACGAAGCATTCTGTAACTTTGAATCATGATGGGGAATAGAAAAGAGGAAGACTAAAGAACACACTGAGATGAGGATCAGAAGCAGACATGAAAAGGGTGAATAGCAAATGGAACGGATTACCCAGAACATAGTTGGATGGAGAACGCTAGTGAGCGGCCTGCCCCTCCACGAGGGTTACCATGCGTAAGTAAGTATTAACCAAGCTATATTTCAATAGTGTGATTGAACAGTACTATGGGTAAAAGAAGACAACTGAATAAAGCAGATTTTCCTAGAATTGTCTTTTTGATATTGACAAAACAATCGAATTTTTGTTCAATCCATAATTCATATAGTTAAAATCTAACAATGTAAATAAGGAAGAAGCGACTGAAGATCAAATCCTTTTTTCTATAATCCATTCTACATTGCAGTCTATGGTATGCTTGGTGATAAGTATACTTATCTTGTGCAAATAAATGAATGTATTAAAAACATTTTAGTTTAACCTCGATACTTAATACGGAAAGACACGCAAGGGAAAATCAAAATTAACTTTTCTATTTTAAATCTATGCGAAATAATGGTCCAAACGCTCTATACTGATGCTTAAACTGTCTATAAAACATATATTTTACCAACTATTTTCAAAATCCAGTCATACAATTCTGAGGAGTAAATCTAATCCTTTTAATGATGATTGAGCTTAGTTTAAAAAAACCAAATGGAAATCAGGGATCACCGAACAGCTCTTCCGTTGTAGGATAAAAATACTTCAGTGATCGCTGACACTCTTGCGAGGAGTCATGATTTTCAAAGTCCAACCATGCAGGATGTGAGGTAGTTACCGATCAGTGACTTAGAAAAATAATAGTTATAGCTTGAAATTCATTTAAAAATTATCACAAGGCGGTCTGCTTGAATATCTGGACTACCTTGTTCTTGCCATCTAGATATTTCAATAAGTTATCTGTTTTTTTTGTGTGTTTATGAGAAATTTACGACCTTTCTCGTTACAAGTTACAAAAATTTATGATCGGAGACGTCGTGACTGCTAGCAGTATGGATTGAAAAGAATGAACATTATTCAGATATCGATTTCTGAAATGCTAACATCTAATTGTCGATCTCTTAGCATTTATCATCATCATCGATCAAGAAATAAGAAACGGAAACTTGCTAAGCTACTTTGTTCTGAGAATTCTATAATCTACCAAAAATATAACATTGAATAAAGCTAATAATAATAGTAATAATAATAATAATAGTAATAATAATAAATATATAACTAGATATATATTTATGGTAATTTCATCCAGCTATGATGGCTTGAGCCAAACTTACTCGTCGTAAATCTACAATGATCTACAATTTCTAAAGTAACAATACTAATTACTGATAAGTTATCCACTGAAAAATTTTCCGTATAGCGGTTGTGGAGAGTATTAAGTTTTTGATTGAGATCATGAATCGACTGATGTTGGGCTACCGTTGGAAACCTAGAAGCACTAGACGGCCGTTTCGTCTTACTATGGGACTCTTTAGCATTGCGCATCCGCAATCCCGCTAGCGGGTTTCGAACCCAGGGCCTTCAGTCTCGCGCGCGATCGTTTAACCTACTGAATCACTGAGCCGGCATCCAATAATGTCAGTGTCTAACATCAACCAATCCACGAAAATTTTGTTTAAAAACTGGGATTTCATCATGATCAATATAATTCCTGACAAATAACTGATACATAAATAAATATCTGAAAATTAAACAAAGTGCCAGTGAACTGTTTTCCCATTCATCATACAGTCAAAAGAGAATGAAAAATACTTTCATGAAATTTATTTCACGTCAAATTCCAATTTATCAAGAATGTCGAAGTATTAAGCTTGTAGAGTTTAATATGTTTAAAATGGCAATTTTATTTGACTTTTCTGTATATACATCCTATTACAGAAGATAAGCTCTAATTATTCTCACGGATCTTAGGTGTTTCATCGTTACTTTTTAAATTATGTGATTTCGTAATGTCTAGTAACACACAAGGAAAAACGATTTTCTTTTATGCATGAATGATTTTCATTTTTATTATTGGATTGTAAATTGGAACGCGGATCGATTGAACAGGTTCTTTAGATTCATATTCCTCTTGACTAAACCTAATGAAAAGTTTCAATTTAGAAGCTAAATACGATGATGTATAACTTAATGCAAATGGGTAAAAGGTAGACGTTTAAATGGATTTGAAATCATGTAGTTACATTTTGCTTTTACAAATATTATTTACTTTGAATAATCAGATATCGAATAAACTTAAGTTGAATAGTACACATCAATCATTATACAATAACCCATATATGTAAAAAATAAAAAAATAAATTACGAATTTTGTGAAAGTAAATTCAACAATCGACAAAGTTAATTAACTGAAAACTGCTCTTGATTCTTTTTTCTTTTATCAATATCTGTATTGTAATTATGGTGTCAACAAAAACGGTAATTTATTTAGCTATTATCAGACAGCTAGTTAACAATCCTCACTACTGCAATGGATACAATAATCCTGGTAAGGAAAAGATGTGTTTGATTCTTTAAGGATTTTAGTGTATGTCCTCTAAAAAGTTTTAAACATCAAATGCTCAGACGATGCTTAAAAACCATTACAAATTTCTAATCGTAAACAGTTAGTTATTTATGTTTATAACAAAGTGCATAAATGACCAGTCTACGCTTATATGATTGCGTTCTAACTTTCGGACAGGCATTAGTAATCCAGATGGCAAGTGACTAATGAGTGTTACCAACTATATATTCACCGAAAATTACTGTGATTTTCTATATGCACCTAGGTTATTTGTATCTATATTAACTATTTTTATGCAAGTTGTTAAATGTGCTTCTTTTGAGTTCATGTCTAATATCTATCCTTATCTTTAGTTTAACTACTTATCTGTATTTTGTATATTCGTTATTTTTATACATAAGATGATTCACAATTCAGCAATCGTTTTTCGGCCAGTAATCATCACAGCCTACTTTTCATCTGTTTATTGATTTGCATGAAATATATTTTTCCAGCACATTTTTGTACTTAAATTTTCGTATCATCGTTATTAAAAGAGGTTGGCCAAATTATTGTATAGGATAACAGATGAGGAATTATATTCTATTGGAGTTAACTAGTCGCATTTCCTATTTGAAAGGTTTCGGGAAAGTTACAAAACGTTTTCAAGATTTGACATCATTTACAACTTATAAGTTTTTCTAAACGAAATGCCAATCAATCACATCGAAGTTCATAAGATTTTCTGTATTTTATCTTATTTGTTTGTAATAATATTTTGATATGAGAGTTCTGTGGGAACGGTTGAAAAACAACGTTACCAATTATGGAACATCCATCTTATAAACAGGCACGAGCAACTAACTCTACCCTTTCAATATACAGTAAGTCTACTGAGTTGTTGGAAATGTAGTCTTAAGTTTGAATCCACCACAACAGTGTTTATAATTGCCAAGTTCTTAATGCATATACTTCAGCATTAAAGAATGTTAGTGAAAAAACTGACTTGTTAAAATATCTATACATTCTGAGAGCATGTTTGTGAATTTCTTTGACCTATATTACTGCATCACATTCGGATCACTAGATGCTTTCTGTTTGATTGCATCAATTAACTTAGTATTTTATTATCTCGGGGTTGCCTTGGATTTTATCATAATAATAAAACAAAAACATCCAAGTTTTTAAATTTATGGATTTATGAATTATAGTCAAGTTACTTCTGAAATTCATGCACCAGAATAAGAAAAACTCACCAACATAATTATTGCTGGATATACAATTAAAAGTATTCTACTTGGGCTACCAGAACCAATGTCTAAATCCCAACATTGATCACCTGTTGTCACGAATATTCTCAATAAAACCCATACAGTAATTACCAATATTGGGAGGGCTAAGAAGAAAGAAGCAAGTGAATTTTTTTCAAAGTTATGTTTTAATGAAAATTATTTGATGAATAATTATGAATTATAGATCTTATGCATGTGAAGAAATGAGGAAATCAAAATAATTTTATAGCTCAAAGAAAGACTTCCACTTAACAAGTTATTTTTTAGCTAAGATAGTCGCTGGAGATAATCGATAGAAAACCCTGAACCTAGGTTTCGTGCTATTTGGTATTCATTAACAAGGTGTGCCTGTAATCGCGACACGGAGAGCTCAGTGGTAACGTCTCTGACTGTAAAACTGGATGACAGGAGATAGAATCTGTCCGAGTGCATCAGTTTCCTCAAGATAACAGGTACACCTTGCTGACGAGTGCCAAATGGCATGAAATCTAGGTTCAGGGTTTCTTGTCGACTACCTTCAACCACCATCTTATCTCAACATAGTTCATGAAATGTCGAGTCACATAGACTAGTGGCCACATTGCAACTTGGTTGATAGGATTCCATCTGAATTACGGAGGACATGACCCACATGACATTGATCAGTCAATTGTTGAAATTTTAAGCTTTGTAATTAACTACAATCGTTGTTCTACTTCATTTTACTTAGAGAATATTTCGACAAGAAATAAGAAACATTTGTTTCATACTGTATATAATACAAAATGATTGGTAATGAAAATGTTTAGCTGTTTTGAATATTTAAAAAATAGAACAAAATGGATTTTCAGTATATTGAATGCTTTTCATATAATTCACATTGTGTTTCGTTGGATCAGCTCTCATTTTCTTTTTGTTATTTTGGATAAAAATAAAGTGTTTAAATGTTCATATTGAATAGTTCTTGAACGATGAGAATCGAATGATAAACTAGTATTGAGATGGTGGAGAAAATTTGTAGCTCAGGTGGATGATTTTGATGGAGTTTTGTTCCGTGAGCTGGATGGTTTGGTCGTGTACATCCGTTATCATTAGGTGTGCCATTTTTCTTCCACTTTGCTCAGCTATTTTCCATCCTAATGGGCAGTTGATTGGAGGTCTTTATCTTACACGACCAAACCATCTAGCTCAGAGAACAAAACTCCATCAAAAAAATAGACTAGTATTACCCTTATACTTCACATTAAGATGTAGTCTAATATGTAGGTATATACTTCTTTATCATAGTTTTTTTTCAGCAACTTTTAAAATCAATTCTTATTAAGAGAAAATAGAATAAACCCTTTGTTCAAGTATACATATAAGTATTGCGTAATCTGTTTTGTTTTTCCTTTTTTCATTGGCTTAAATAGTTTGCATGTCATATATATATATATATATATATATATATATATATATATATATATATATATATATATATATATATATATATATATATATATATATATATATATATATATATATATATATATATATAATGTAATGTTACTTAATAAATAAATAATACAATTCCAAACTCTTATTCATTTCACTTATATTCACTTTGAAAATATGTACTATCTACATCATTAAAATGTAGAATAGTTGATAGTCTATATAAACTTACGAAATTACAAGTAGTATTATTCCAAAACAATAAAATTATCATTCAATAAAGTTTTCAAAAGATCATGATTGAAACCTTTATCCCCCTCAAAAAATATTTGTTATATTGTATTAGTCTTTAAGAGTTACTAACTAAGATGATATTTCCACTGAGAAAAAAAAACATCTTCTGAATTACATTACTTAATATTACCTTTAGCCATAGTTGATTCAAAATTTACACTTAGTCGATAAATAACTTTAACTGGAACTGATAAATGTTATATTGTTGCTATATTGAAAGATTTATCTGGAAAGAACTTCACAAATATTTTACTTATCATCTAATTTAAGTAATGTTAATAAACTTTTCAGTCATAAAAATATAGTCTATAGATACTGATACTTGTGAATATATAAAAACAGGCATTGTGTAACCCAGATATCTTTAATTTGTACGTTTATTAATGTAACAATTATGCAGTGTTTTAAAATATTCGTATTACGGTATTTGAATTATAAGTCTTTTACAAATACATTCTTCCTCTTTAATGTCTTACATCAACTCGGAGCCCAAATAATGTGGAACTGTTCGATCAAATTTAGACGAACGTTCTTATCTATAAGCCTCTTATAATTTCTCTAGTGAACTATTTGTTCATACATGAAAATGATAGATATCAATCCAATAGAGAAGTTACTTGTATGGCCGTTTTGCTTGCATCAAAACTAGATAAGATATCATAATTTGGTTTCCCTCGCCTGTTTTTCAGGTGACAGTTAATGATTATCACATTCAAGCAAATAGAAATATGAGGAGAAAATGTAGGAATCACTGACTAACGTATGGTTGTAAAAAATATCACATAAATACAAAATGCTATATATTTAGGTAAAAACAAATGATTCAATTCATTCTGGAATCTTCCCATTGTTATTTATGACTGCATTCGATCAGTCTCATGTTGGCTGCGAATTGCCTCAATATAGCCTTAAGTCACAAGCTTTTTAAGTAAAGATGGATAGTGGCTTGCAGTGGAATATAGGATGCGCATTTCATCCTATTTGGGACTTGCCAGCTGGCGTTACCTGCTTCCCAGACTCAAACTCAGTACCGTTCACTTGAAACGTCATCTCATTGTCTACTTAGCTACTGTGTCCTGATGGACACCTGCTTGTCCATTAGGGTGAAGTTTGAATTCACTTGGTGTTATAAACACCAACGCTGGGATGCAGGTACATCCAGCGGACGAGTTCCAAATGGGACGAAACGCGCATCAGACTGGATTCCACTGCTAGCCACTATCCATTTTTGCTTAAATAACCTTTTAGTTTGTAATTTCATTTACAGATATATAGATATTTATACAAAATAGTTGTTGTTAGCTAAATTGTTCCAATCAAATTTGTCTGAATATTGACAGTTTTTAGATGGCCGATAATCAAATTCACTACAGATAATCCTATTGAGATTTCGGATAGTTGTTTATATCAAGCAGATAAAATATAGAAATAATTTTTTAGCTTATGTATCGATACAAACGTCCATGCAGATAATTTAGATTTTCCGGTATTTTCAAATTACGACATAATTTTAAGTTGCTTTAAATACTGGCGCATTGATTTACATATATAGGATGCACATTGCGGCAATCATTGAACTGAACCACAAGGCAAGCCTTAACTGTCATTCGTGAAGGCAAAAGGAAGAAAGAAAAACTAGAAAACACATGATATTGGGACTTGGATGTAGACAATGTAGCCAATGGAAACAACTAAAAAGAAGAGCTTAGGACATAATTTGCCGGAGAATTCTGGTTCATGACCTATGATCCTCCACTATAGGTATTGGATGTAAGCAAGTATGTAATGTTTTCTATTTAAAGTAGTATCACTAATTAATTGGCTTGTACTAGTAATAATAAGTCGTATAGAATCCATCTTAACACTATTCCAGTTTCATGGAGTATTATAATTCGCCAAACTTCAAGTCTCGTACATGAAATTTCAATCAATTATCCATATTATGTGTTTTCCATGAGTTGGACGAATTCATTAAGTACTGATAAAATCATTTCTGCTATAGGAATACGATGTGTAATTGTCATAAACGGCTTTGTTTTTGATACTGAAATATTAAAAATGTTTTAAAACAATTAATTTCAAACAAAGATAAAAGTGTATTGAGAGCTTACACCATCCAATAGAAGCATAAAGAATAAAAGATGTCCTACTTTCATGCATTACATGAACAAGAACACTGTTGTGAAGATAAAGTGCTTCCATAAGTACCCAAGAATATGTTGCTTCAATTGTAAACACATGAAGAGTTGTGAATACTTTGCAAATAACCTTAAAATGAAAAAAAAAATTTTTTGAATTGTTGCATATTTTTATTTAAATGTTTTGTATCATATTAGAAGAATAATTGGTGAGACTATAATTTATGGACGACCTATAAGCCACGCTCAAGTGACCTTGAGAATGTTCACCTGCTAAATTAGGATCAAATGGAGGTTAGGATTTACTGTTAATGGTTAGGTTTAGGAATTAGATTTATGGTTTTCATTACTAAGTGACATTAGCTATAATACCAAAATGATATTTTGCCAAATGTATAGATGAATTTCGCACCAAAATTCAAAATTCATTATCTTATATCCGATTGGCTCGTCTATAAATGATAGTTTCACCCATAATTATATCTTCAGTAATGCTAAGAGAAACTCCGCCTGTAGCTCTCCTACAGTTACTGCCGGTTCCAAGCCCGGGTAAAGGAGGAGGGTTGGGTATGGGGTTAGCGTTCTCATCCCGTAGAAAACTAACTCAATAAAAAGCGCTTACCGGAAAAAATAATTCAAACCATTTTAACTCTGCCCTGGGAGTTAGAAGGTCTTCATTTAGAAGAATTATGACGCTTCATGGTGAAAGCCAAGTTCCTTCGGAAGCCACGAGGCCGATGCCCCTTCTAACAACCAGAGGAAAAATTTTTATAGGTACATGTAACGTCCGAACAATGTGGGAGACCGGGAAGACCAGTCAAATAGCAACAGAAATGAGGAGATACAACTTGTCAGTACTAGGAATCAGCGAAACCCACTGGACCCAAGGAGTATTGTATACTTTGTTGGATAACTAAGAAATGACACAGAGTCCATGTGCTATACTATATTATACTCTTTTCTTTATAGTGTATCCATTTCATTCAATTATTTCTAGCATTTTAATTTCATTATTTATAAATGTTCTCATTAATAGTTATAATATAATAATAATAATTTATATATTATGAAAATAATAATACAGAATTCACGCCAGTTTACAGGCATGATCAATTTGATATAAATAGTAACATTAGATGTACAGAACAAACATGTGATAGAAGAAAGTATACTAGTTCAGTAGTTGTTTAGGTAGTACATCTATTACAGCGATCCAATGCATCAGCCGGGAATTTTTAATATTAATTAAATGGACAGCTAAATGAATAAGTCATCATTATTAATTCTATTCATAATTACACGAAAGAATAACATTACAATTAATATGTGATTTCATTTTTTCTATTATTAGTTATTAAATTATCAGAACAAAAATCTAATCACATAAACACTTTAAACATTAAACCAAACTCTTACATGAAGAAAAATCTTGAAGATTATGAATCAAGAAAAACAATCTATTGAATTACTGTATCGGCTTTTAAAAAAAGGTTATATATATTATTGTAACCGAATTCATAATTATTTCACCTTGACTCGATTGTTGAGATTACACCATGGAGATTAAAATATCAATTGTATGAAATGTTGAGTGTATTATGAAATGCCAGTTATTGACAATACACTTATACGGTTAGGATGAATCGTTATTTCAGTAAGATAATTTACCCATTTTAGTCCAATTATTATATGGAAATAAATAAAAGAACTTATTTATCAGCATGAAATTAGTAATTCAAAATTTTAAACTTTCGTTATGAGCCCATTCAAACATTTCTAGTTTTATAGATAATGGTATTACTAACCGACTATCAATAATCTCCCAGCGATATTCGAATTATAGTTACCATATTATTCGTGGCTTCAGTCACCAGTTGATATTAGCTAGAACATCATTTAAAAATAGCAAACACTGAACTGTTGTTTCATCGTATTTTTTGACTATTTGGGAGAGCATATCCACAACCCAAACTTAAAGAATCGAATCCAAGAACTGTATTGTCCGCAAACATCACATGCTTTACATGTCTATCTCACGACGTTACGCAAAAATCGTTCACAGATTGCAATGAATAAGTGCTTCATATACGACTTCGCTGAACCTCCGTGGTCACGGCTTCTCATTAAAACTCTAGGAATTACACCTTGAAACTAGTTATTAGTCAGCACAGATTGCCCAGATTGTTAACTTATCATAGTCTAAATCACAAACTAATCTCAGCTGAACAGCCATTGATTTTTTCAATAAGACATTGTAATTTCCTGTTTTAATTTTTTTGTTATTATTTAGACCAATAACTTTGATACGAACACAAATGTCATTTTCCATATTTTACCATGCACTCATTTTAACTGTTAAAAAACACGGGGAAATGATCACTTTTTCAACGAATTTTTTATCAAGCCATACAATAGCATATTTACAAAACCTTTTTTAAGTATTAGTTTCGTACATAACATATGCTTTTATGTAACAAAGTACATTTGTACTATTACTATTCTTATTATTATGATCACCTACCCCTTGACCGTCTGCTGCATGTTTTATAAAATGTAAGACGCAACGTAGCAAAATTGCACTGAACAAATTCAAATGTAGATTATTCCTTGTGCATCTGAGACGTCTGTAAATAGGAAAAATAAGATTATAAAATATATGAATAACGTATTTTAGAATCCTTAGTTAAATAAATAAAATTTCTTCATTATATCAATGAGTATTTATCACTACTATCTTGTCAATATCCATCAAGTAAGTTTAGAAACACTGGTGGGATGCCTATTTTCTTTCACGAAGAGTAACAGGTGTAAGTAAGTAAGTAAATAAGTGAGTTTAGGAACATATATTAACAAGAAGATTCTTTTATATCACATACATGGAAAGGTAAATGAATGTCATTGAGTTTAGAATATTCATTCTAACTGCATGAACTTACATAAAACATGAAGTAAACATCATGTGAATAATTTGTTCTTTACGCTTACTATTCATTTACGTTGAATTTTAGAAAACTAACTCGCTAAAAAACCCAAACGTTAACCAGTCTCATTAGCATATTAATAAATAAAAAAACAGTCATCTTAACTAATATCTATTTTCTTTTCTTATATTTTACTTTTTTGCTTTACTTTTAACATATAATATTTGATTGTTCACAATGATAAACTATTATCAAATAGTGTTCCCAGCTATTCAAATATTATGATTTATCATATTGTATTATCTAATAGTAAAGTGCTTTGTTAAATTTTAATGTCTTAGTGTATGTTTATAGCTTATCAAATATCATTATCAGAATGTGTTTTGTGGAGATTTTTAGAAATTTTCACAGATTGAACTCATGAGTCAGTTGAAGCTAGACCACCATTGAAAACCTGGAAGCACTGGACGGCCGTTTCGTCCTAGTATGGGACTCCTCAGCAGTGCGCATCCACGATCCCGCACCACCCGGGGCTCGAACCCAGGACCTACTGACTTCGCGCGCGAGCACTTAATCACTAGACCACTGAGCCGGCATCCAACGGTGTTAATGTCTGACTTCAACCAATCCACGAAGTTGCGCTACCGTACACCATTGTCTTCAGTGATTTCCTATCTCACAACAGACCTGGTTGAACTCCACTGGTAACGACTTCTCACTAGAACTCCAGAAGTGTCTCCTGAAGTCAGTCACTAGTGAGCATGTGATTATTATTATTATCAGAATGTGTTTTGTGGAGATTTTTAGAAATTTTCACAGATTGAACTAAAAATCTCCACAAAACACATTCTGATAATAATAATCACATGCTCACTAGTGACTGACTTCAGGAGACACTTCTGGAGTTCTAGAAATTTTCACAGATTGAACTAAAAATCTCCACAAAACACATTCTGATAATAATAATAATCACATGCTCACTAGTGACTGACTTCAGGAGACACTTCTGGAGTTCTAGTGAGAAGTCGTTACCAGTGGAGTTCAACCAGGTCTGTTGTGAGATAGGAAATCACTGAAGACAATGGTGTACGGTAGCGCAACTTCGTGGATTGGTTGAAGTCAGACATTAACACCGTTGGATGCCGGCTCAGTGGTCTAGTGATTAAGTGCTCGCGCGCGAAGTCAGTAGGTCCTGGGTTCGAGCCCCGGGTGGTGCGGGATCGTGGATGCGCACTGCTGAGGAGTCCCATACTAGGACGAAACGGCCGTCCAGTGCTTCCAGGTTTTCAATGGTGGTCTAGCTTCAACTGACTCATGAGTTCAATCTGTGAAAATATCAAATATCAATTGTTATAATCTACATAACCATATAAGTAATAAAGGTATTTGTCCCCAAAAATATCTGTTTCATTTTTACTTATATATTTTAATATCAGATGGGTTTTGTGGATATTATAGTAATTTCAGTGGTTAAGATCATAAGTCAGTTGAAGCTAGACTACCATGGAAAACCTGGAATCACTGGATGACCGTTTCGTCTTATTGTGGGACTCCTCAGCAGCGTGCATCCACGACCTCGCCCTCTGCGAGATTCGAACCCAGGACCTATCAGTCTCGCATAAGGCGCTTAACCATTAAACCACTGAGCCGGCCGGCATCCAACGGTGTAAATATTTAACTTCAACCAATCCACGAAAGTGCTCCACCGTTCACCATTATCTTCAGTGAGTTGATATTTTACAACAGACTTGGTTGAACTCCACTGGTAACGGCTTCTAACTAGAACTCCAGGAAATGCCTCTTGAACTCAGTCACTAAGACGAAACGGTTGTCCAGTGCTTCCAGATTTACCATGGTGGTCTAGCTTCAATTAACTCATGATTTCAACTATTGAAATTACCCCTTGTGATACAAATATTATTTATTTAATTTTAATAAAATCAGTTATTTCTCATCTATTTAAAATTGGTCTCTATACGTCACAATTCAACAATTAATTACATATAATCAATACACAAGAACTAACACAGTCAATTACATATGATAACAGTGTATATTGTAATCATTACTCATTTGAATCATATTTCTTATTAATAATAATTAAGTGCATAATAATATCAAGCTATTAATTATGCTTTAATAATATGAACGAAAGTGAATAGAATCATATGAGATTAGATTACATATGACGTAATATTATCGATATTTAATGAAATTGTAGTTACTTATATTTATCATAATTTCTAGTAAACTGATTAAGAAAAATTAAAGTCAAAATTAATTTATCTAATTTGTAGACTTAACACGATAAGACTACAAGTTATGGATGACCTATGAATGACCTATGGATGACTATGAAAATGTCCACCTATTAATTAGATCTGAATGAAGATTGTAAACCAATGTGAGGAATTGTAAATACAATTTACGGTTGATGGTTCAGCTTAGGAATTAGATTTACGGTTTTCATCACGAATTTACATCAGCCATAATGCCGAAATAGTATATAACCAAATGAATGTATGAATTTTGTGCGAAAATCCGAGACCTGTTATCTCAAATCTGATTGGTTCGTCCATAAATTATAGTCTCACCAGAAGTTTAATATAGTTCTTTTTCAAAAATGAACCAGTTACATTAAATTCATTGTGTCATTCTTGAAATCATATAACAATTACAGATTCATATTTGTTGGTTATTTCACACTGATTGTTTACATTTAATAAAGGCAGATTTGTCAGAAAATAGATTTAGTTTAAAATATGTCCTCAACCAATGATCGATGCGAGTAATTATTATGTACTACTGTGGTGCGTGTTACTTATATTGACATAAGTAGTATATAACGCGAGTCAGGAGTGTAATGCCTGGCAGCAGAAGATGGAGAAGACCAAGAAAGGAAGAGCGGGAATAGAAAGCAAATAGTATGGAAATTCAAGAACAATGAAGTTCGAGACAATTATGGAACATTTTGCAAATTAAGCATTATAGTATGGTTGTTCTATTTTACCAAGTAACTCTGTAATGTTGTGCTAAGTAATAATTCGGTTGTCCTCACCTGTGTTCTCCTTCACTACACTACAATCGTAATATTAGTGTGCCGTCCAACATGATCAAAAATTTAGATAATATAGGTAGTTTGTAGAAGAAGTTAAATGTTGAAAAGATGTAAGTCGGAAAAAGTCCAAACTTTAAATTGTAATTCAATATTCACAGTCTGTTTAACTGCCCAGTCTATGCTATATACGATGGCAACCATAAAAAAATAACAAACTTTCAAAAACATTAAAATTTGGACGATTTTTTTAAAATACTACATCCTTTCGTTTTGAAGGGAACTAGAAAATCATGCATCCGATATGCACAACCTATTTAACATCGCATTGTATGCAATCAATTATTACAATCTGATTAGAATCTATTTATCAACGCTTGAATAACCAAGACAAATTAAGTACAGTGGTGACTTTTTAAACTTTCAGAAGTTTAAGTTAAACCAGTGTTTTAAAAAATCAACATAAATAATTTAAACACGTCAAAATTGATGAAATTAGTTTTATCAGTATAGGGGAGATTAGGGAATTTTCATAGTTTTTAAATTACAAATAGATCTTGTTCTTATCCCCATTCACAACCTGGAAGAAATTGACGGTAGTTGTTATATCCCGGTGAAGATTAAATTACAGGTAACTTCCAAGGACTATTAATGGACTAATATTCTATGAATATTCTTATTGTATAACTACTCAACAATTACATTATGTATATTTATATTCCTCTTATTATAAGCTTTATTTTGCCCTATAATTTATTATTGTACGATTTACGGTTCTTAAGCTATGCTCAGGCTATTAATTACTGTCCCCCTCGTTCACAGCCACTTTTGGGCTTATTTGTGTACACATGTTATTTTCTATTTTATGGTACGTTGTGGTCTGTCTGATTGATATATAAACCGAGTATGTCTGAAATAAACGATTCGATCTGATTCGATTCGATTCATATTACGGAAGCTGGTATTGTGTTCTGGACTCAAGTGGAAGGGCTAGGAGGACATAGGACCAATAAGGACGCTAAACTGCCCACACCGGTTGGAAGTCATTGGTTGGCCTAGTGTGAAGATTCGTATAAGTCGTATTCGGATTGGTAGATAATTCATATGATAGAAAAGCCAGACGTCAAGGTCATAACAGTAGTTTTGTCCTAGTACGGGACGTTTTAGGAGTGTGTATACATCACTACACGGAACAGAATCCGTGGTTTTCGGTCTCCCGATTTTCATAGTGATATGAAGGAAAGAAAAGTCAATTTTCGATTGATTTACCCATTATTAGTTTCGTTCAAGATTACTTCCGTTCTGATTCAATGTAATGATTACTCAATTTAGTATTCGTTTCGTTTTCTCGTATGATATTTTATTCTGTATAATATGCGATAGTCTTGTATTCCATTGACCTGAACTATGCTCAGTATGTGATTTCTTATAACTCTAAGTGTTTTTCACATATGTGATTCCATTCTAATTATTAATCAAAATGGGTGTACAATCAATGTATAAATTAGTATTTTCTACTAGAATCGTCGTCGTGTTTCGGGTTTAATAAATTATCAATTATACCAGTCTTTGTGTTCTTACATTCACGTCCTGGGGATCACAGAGGTCCCTCGTTCCGAGTATATGTGATAAGCGTTTCCGACATAACAATCAGTGATGACCAGATACAAAAAGTAGCGTTGAAAGATCCAAGACAATAAGCATTCAACCGACAAGTTATAGCACATAGGTTGTGAAACTAAGGTCAATTCATGAATTACAATCGATGAAAATTAGTGTCGACAACAATTTTAGTTAGTCTTTTTAACATTTGTTACGGTAACTTCTGATAAATCAGTTAATACTAAACAACACTAATTTGAATAGGAAAATGAGTGTGCTTGACAGAATGGTTCTGAGTACTGCAGTCAAGAAAATCATTAGCTTTACTAAGATATTCACTATGGAAAATGTAATTGCCACAGACCATAACGAATAAAACAAAACGCTATGGCTTACCGAAACCGTAAAATTATCCCAGTAGCTATTAATAATAAAATCATAGATATTGCGTAACCATAAAACACAGAAGTTTGTATGATAGGCAAATGGATCTATAACCGAAATAGATGAAGATATAAATGGTGAATTATAACATTCAAACGTTTTTTACATCTTTACAAAAAAAAGAGCACAAGAATAGGAATTTTTAAGCAATTTTGATTCACTATGATATTGTAATTTTATTTAATAATTGCATGAGATATCTGAGTGAATGAATATTATAACGAATTTATAAACGAAGAAATATAAACGGAAGAGGGGATGATAAATAAACATTGAATGGGAAAAAATATAGGCAAGATCGTTTATTATGCTATATTAAGCTAATCAAGTGATAGTGTTAAGAATTATTTCTTATATATCGTATAATTTGTCGTTTCTCAGTATAATTCGATTTCGTCTCGTATATATAACAGAAACTATAAAGATCGGAACTAATAACCCTTGTTTACGTGCTGAAAAAATCCTGTCTTTGTGAGGATATGACCTAATAAACGATATTATTAAATTTTCCCATTCCGTATTTATTTGTTTTTATTTACTTTCTTCCATATATTTATGACGTAATTTTAATGGCTTTTATTGATCATTATCTTCATTCCCATCTCTCAAGTTCTGACTTACTTTCGTATTTGAACTGCTGGTTAAAACGACATTTTATTGATCTTATCTTTACTTGTCCACCTGTCTTTTTACTAAAAATTTGTACTTTCACTATTTATATATGGTTACACAATCCATTCATTATTAGTATTGAATAGCTGAATATTTTTTAATATATGCGTATAAATATTCCTCTACGTTAGGGTAAATCTTAATGAAGATCTGACTGAAAACTATAGTCCTCGCTTATATGCGTTTTACTCATTGTTTGATCTGTAATTCACTTTATGAACCTATTTATGTTTATCCGTAACTACAATGAGCAAAATGAAAGATCAAGTTGATTGCTAATTTTTTGTACCATAAGTAATTTTCGGAGTTCAAGTATTTTTCGAATTTTTATTGTAAATTATTTATTCTCATACGTCTTCTACAGATATATACTAGCAGTTGCATTATCCATAACTCATAAAAGCTACAATTCATAGGCAGTTTCTGAGTAGACTAGTAAATTTTAATGTTTAACATTTATAATAAATTATTTCAATAGAAACAGTGTATATACCAACCGCCATTATGTCTTCATGATGTACACAATCACTATAATTGGATCTATCGAATTTCCAAACAATGATGTTTCTCCCGTTTAAATCTTGTGTCTTGATAGTTATATTACATGGGCGATAAACCATCCCAGTTATTTTAACGCCTGGAACATGAGATGGACAAGGTATTTTAGCAATTGTTCCACCCTTTGTTGGTGGCCAGCAAGATACTGAATCAAATTCCGTAAGACAGTATTCCGTTTGAAAATAAATTTGAGATTTCTCTAGAAAACAAAAAAACGAAAATTAAAACTCATTAAGGCTACCAGTGAAAGTAAAGCGTACTAAATCACCTAAATATATATATATATATATATATATATATATATATATATATATATATATATATATATATATATATATAAATATATATATATCCTGTTCGCTCGCTCATTCAACTCGCACGCTCACTCGCTCGCCCACTTGCTTTCCGGCACTACTCTCTCATACTTGCTTAGCGTACCTGTAATCTTGGTTATCTGTGCGTGGTGCAATAATAAATGTAATCAACACTTCTTATTTGCCTTCTGATTAATACACAGTTGGTGCGTTATCTAGTGACGGTTATCAAGACGAACTGTATATGGAGTTTAAGGATTATACTGAATACCAACCACATCATGTTCTATTTTTTAATAAAATTCTAATTATTATAATTTAACCCAATACTTTCAAAATTAATGTCTTTCTCATTCAACATACGATATTCAATAATGAATATCAGGCAAGTTTAAAAGAAAAGCTAACCAGATATGAATGAACAGAAGTTAATGGTTGTTTTGAAAATGAGATCAATCGTGAAAATTCACATTTTCATTTGTTTCCGTTTATAGTTTTCTTTTCTTTTCCTCTTTTTTTGTTTTCAGAAACGTTAAGAAAAAGACACAATAAACTAATTGTACGAAATGAATGTTAAAGATCAAAACATTTTCTTTTCAAGTGGATTAGTTTATTTTTCTAAATGTAGAATAGTTCTCTAATGCAGTTAATTATTTCTCTTGACAAATCGGCCAATCCATTTTAAAAGATACATAAAGAGATATTAATTTCATTTTGATTGTAGTCCTTTTCAGAACAAGAAATGTCCAAAATTGTGTTCTATACTGACGTTCATACAACTATGTACAATTTAATCAAGGTGTTTTGTTCCTTAGTAATAACAATTTGTTAATGAATGTATTTTATTTAAAGGCTAATACAAGCCATGATATTTAAATAATTATGATGGATTCAAGATTACTGAACTATATATTAGATACATTTCTGGTTTTTCGTTTTTTTTAAAAAGATAATTAGATAGAATTGGATATAAAAGAATATTCATGTAGTGATTTGTTGTAAAAGCAAATATACAAGAATTTTATCTGACTTATACGGCTGAAATGCGTCTTATTTCATGTTGGGTAGCTGGTTAGTATCATATGCCTTAGTACAAAGTATGACTTTAAATGGTGTTACACTGTAACATCAATGAAAAAACTGAAAAGAAGTAACTGAGGACTCTGACAACCTTCTAAATTAGAGTCTTTCATTATATATATAATATTGTTGCGTTGTTCCTTTGTACTATTTAAACTTGGATCAATTCTCCTAAGTGACCTACAATGAGTCACGAAACGTCAGAAAATCTAATTTTTCTACTCATTGGGATATTACAGATATATTAATTGATTGATAGAGTCCTTATTTGTTCACCATTCTCTATGATACCAATTAGTTACAGATGATCCGATATAATATCGGATATTTCATTTTATTTTATCCAAAGTGCTGGAGCACCTACCTTTATTTTTATGAATAGATTTTAGTTGTACTCTGTTAGATATTATCACTAAAGAATTTCATGTTTAGTAAAAACCTATGGTGTGAACTGTATTCTTACACTGAAACACCTCTTGTTGCAGTTGTTTCACTTATTCCTCCAGGAAGTCTTTTTACTTCATTTATTTGTACATATTTTATAAGGCTGGTAGCATAAAAGAATGATCTTAAGTTCCAGAGCTGAATAAGTAGCCTATGAAACGCATAACTCACAATTATTTATACTTTAAATGAAAGTTATTCTTGCTTATTTTCTTATCAAATGTTTGTACATAACTGTGTAAATGAGCTAAATAAAGCTCTATTTGTTGATAGATTATTTTGGATTTTAATATACACTTATTTTAGACCCCAAATCAATAATTCGGTTTTCTTCGGTTATTAACAGTTCCCTATATATTGATTCAGTCGATATATCCTAAACAACAGACAACAATATCTAATTTCATTGGCAAACCAATTTATGATATTCATAAGCATGTAGGTGGTTTGGTCGTAGCTAGAGGACAAAGTCGGAGTTTTAATTTTCAAACAAATCCCAGTTCCGTACATCCTGATACTATGATAGTTTTAAATAAAACTGAAAAAAAAACATTTCATTATATTTAGGAGTATCTTAACTGCTATAAATGGTCTTTGAATGTTTTAGTTTAGGAAATAGCTAACTTTGAACAAACAAACCATAATACAAAATTAAAAATGTATGACATTCAACATAAGGTGTATTGTCGATGGATTTATCGTTTGTAATTATATAAATGATACTTCCTAATTGTTTTACGAGTTGAGGAAACATATGTTAACATTAAATTTACGAGAGGATATTAAAGGAATGATCAGTTCTGTTTCCTTTGTACTAGTTAATCTTGTGTTATTTTACTTTAGATTATTTGTTTACTCTGAAGACGTAGTCTACATTAAATGACAAAATGTCAGAAATAATTTTTTTACCATTGGGATATAACAAAATATATTTATTATTAACTCTATACAAAATGCTCAATTTATTTGAAACTATCAAATCCAACGTTAGTATTGGTGCCTATAATAAGCAATTCAACAAACTAGACCTGAACATAAAAACGATAAAATAACCAAGAAAAGCATATTTTGTAAAGAAACATAGACAGGGCAATAATTAAATTATAATAGCCTTCATCCTGTTAGTTACAAAGGCTGCTTAGTTAAAATCTTATTTAACAGAGCTAGAAAGTTGTATTCAGCCGGCGAAAGAAAAGTAAGGATCGTATAAATTAAACATGTCTTATAAAAGTTTAATATGCAAATACGTTTACTTTTTGAATACAGAAAAAAATGTTTAGTGAGTGACCCAGATAACTCTTGGATACCAGAGAAATGAGACTATAAGCGGAAATAATGAAAGGATTAAAGCAAATTTAAGATGATATTTTTCTTGCAGCCTCACTTTCTCCATGATGTGACATCAAATATTTCTTATACTAATCACAAATGGATCTATATACTTCTGAAGTAATAGTCAGATGAATTTATGAGTTTAAATGCACCAGATATAACATGTACACCGTGAGGACGGAAAGGGAAGCATCTACATGATTTTCTATGAGAATGTACCATTTTTTCAGTTACGTCACCTTTTGATTTGATTTTATATACCACAGGGATTGACTCATGACGTTAATTGTAAATTCATGTCACCTGGGTGACTTGATTATGTTGTCAGTCATTTTCAAAAATCGTTTTCATCCATTCTGTTTCAATTACTATTTATGACATATCATATGTTACGTCATCTGTTCAACATATGAGTACTACTCAATCTTAACAATAATGTTGGATATGTTGTGCCCCCCATGTTTCATTTAGTATTTTTCTAAATCTTTTTGAACTTAGCTTCACTTACTACGGTATGGAAAACTTCGTTTATAACAATGGTATTAACTGTAACTGTGATATTTACATACTTGATTTTTCTGCATATTTAATTTTTAAAATGATAAACTGCTACTTATTTTCTATGATCACTACGCATTTTATTAGTATGATCTCAAACAGGTTAGTTTATACTTGTAAGTTATAATTACACATTTCTTATAAATAGTACATTTAGATAAACAATGAAAAACAATACTCACTGTCCAATGTTCGATTGAGTTCACATTCATTTTTTACTTTTTCACGAAGTATCTCAGCCTCTTTTAGAGACAATATAGTAATTTCGGAGGCTTCCTAAAAAACAAATTAAAAATGAATTTAATGAATTGACTAGAAACTGGATGGTATCTTCGCTTGGTAATAATCGACAAATAATAAGGAAAGGAACTAAAGAAGTGGCATGAGAATGATCTCATTGGAATCATTTCACATCTCAAATGTAAAAAGCTATCCTTCTCTTAAAACAATCTATGAGTTGATTATCTGTTAAATTTCATCGAAATTATAAACCGAGCAAATTTGTATAACTATTGAAAACCTGGAAGCATTTCACGACTGTTTTGATCTAGCATAAAACTCCTCAGCAGAGTGCATTCACAACCCCTCGACTGGGAATTAAATCCAGGACCTCTATCGGCTGAGAAAGGTTAACCACTAGACTACGAAGCCGATAACTAATGGTTTACATTTCTAAATTCATACAATTTATTATATTGCGCGATAATATTTTATAGCTTAAAGTGAATAAATACTTCGCAACCAACATGGTTCAACACCACTTGTCATGGCTTCGTACTCGAACCTTGGAGAGACAGGATTTCTCGGGTTTGGTTCGCAACTGGGGGATCGTGGACACTCAATCCTGAGAAATGTCATACTAGGATAAAATAGTCGTCCAGTTACTTTGAATCGATTACTGATTTCGGTGAGATTCAACAACCTCCACAACCTGATACTGAGAATCGTTGTTTATTTATACCTCAGTAAGTTCGTTCTTTTAACTGTCATGAAAACCTCCCCATTTTGGGGATAACGTGAATTATATATGGCGTTATATATAAAACGTCATAACTCTGGTATTTCTGATACGAATGTTATAATATCACTATTCATTTGAATGTTTTCACTAATAAGAAGTATCAATGTCTGTTTATCTTGTTTTCTTAATTCTCGGTTTTACTTAAAACATCTATTTCGGTATCGTTGATCAGCTCGTGGTAATCCTAAGCTTCTTGCTTCACAACTGATTATATCTTCAAGGTATTTCAAAACTATTAGGCTTTTTAAAGTAGGATGAAACAATATTATCCAGACACTGTAAATAAGTAACAGTCTAGTTGAATCATAACTGTGATTTACTGCAAGACTAGGTAGAAAGCACTTTTTGAAACAAAATAAAATGTAGTGATTTGTGAAAGAGCTATCTTTTTAGCCGATTGATTCTCATAGATGTACAGTCATAATGATAAACGGTAGTAGGTATCATTACCAAGGTTTGACTTGATAATTTTGAATAAAATTGTGCATTGGGTAGATTGTTATAAATACATTAATTTATTGGTAAACGGTAGTGTTCATTGATAATAATATTTCGTTGAACATGGTAACAAAAGGGAGGAATAAACTATGTACAAAAGTGTTATTCTGCATAAGCTCCTAAAAAGGCTGATTTTAAGTTCGTGCAAATCCGTTAATCATACCACATTATTAAGATAAAGAATAGGGATCACGAAAATCGATGAAGGGTTACGTAAGACCATTCATCGATTTAAGTTAGACATTAACACCGTTGGATACCGGTTCAGTGGTTTAAGAGTTAAACGTTCGTATGTGAGTCCTGCGTGCGTACTTGTGGATATGCACTGCTGAAAAGTCCCATACTAGGACGAAACGGCCGTCCACTACTTCCAGGTTTTTAATGGTGGTCTAGCTTAGATCAACTCGTGAATTCAACTGTGAATTTAATTACTTTAAAAAATAAATTTGAGTGTTGAAATTGAATGTAATCAGAAAACAAATAGAAAAGAATATATGTCCGTTAAGTCAAAAAATAGGGAAGAAGAGTTGATGGTGCAACAGAATGAAAAGATATGGTCATGGTTTACGAATGACTGAATTATTTTCTTTAGATATAATCTTAAATGCACTTAAGATTTTTAATCTATAGAAGGAAGAAGGAAATTCTATCTTTGCTTTCTATTCATTAATTGATGTCTTTCAATAATGAATTTATTTAGACAGAATGATTTGTATCTATTTATTGGATTCCGTATCGACCATCTGTTAAGTTTTTACAATTGTGCATTTTAATAATGTTTATTCATTCTGAGAAAAACCACCATTGAACGATTAATACTTATACATGACCATATCAATCGATTAATGGAAACTGAGTTCATCATCTACGAAAGATAATCACTTGAAAGTTAATTTTAAGAAAACTTTTCAAGTTAGACATCCATAGACATCCTTTTTAATGTGTATTTAGCTATGTCATCTTTAAATAGACATTCGTCAATGCTATTAACTTTGGCAATGAAGTTATCGGTTTTCTTTTTTTAAAGACATGAGCTTCTTGTCTTATCAGTGTATAGTGGACGTGATTCATTTTCGATAAATATCTAAATACATTTTATTAATTGAACTGTTTCATGTCACAAATGAATTTTAAAATGATTGTAAACAAAACTTTCCATGCAACTGCTTATAAAAATAACATATAACTATTTATAGATTAACATTAAAGAATGTAAGTAACCTTCAAATCAGTAAAATAATCAACTGGAAAGATTTATAGGCCATTGCTTTAAGATAGTTTGCTTCATTCATTTAAAATGAGTGTATATACCGTACATGCGGTGTCGAGTCATTCAGACTAGTGACTGATCGAATTTGATCAGGATTATTATGTACTTAATATACATGATATTGTTCATTACTCAGTGATCAAACATTTGCCAACAATATGTATGGTAAACTATGTATCGATTAGGCTTTATTCGTTCATATAGTCAACTATTTCCACACAAACTTTGTCAATGGCATTTATTAACATTCATAAGCTGGTTATTGTGTAAACCAAAGAGAAATTTATGTAAAAGAATTATTTTCTGAAATATGAATAGTTTTGCCTACATCAAGAAACCTTTTAAATCACATTTACAATGATCATTTAATTATTGGAAAAGTCTTTCCTGTTAATATACAGTTGAGAAAGGTGTTGCTTGTCATTAACTTAGGAGATAAGCTGAAAAGCTTGTTTTCACATAGCTAATTAAAGATTGAAATAATATTAAAAGTCATACAAAACTTTGTTCGCATTTAGTATTTAATACCTTGCTATTATTTATTCAAAATATATATGGCATAGCAACTAAGTGGTGTACTGTTAGTTGCCGTGTCAACTATCTCAAATGTTAACCAAGATGAAATTGCATTATCTGCTAAAGTTTTGATTAAAAATTCATAGTCAACATTATGTGTAAAATGATGATTCAAGATTTCACTTTCATATAAAAGCAACATTTTGAATTAGTAAAAAAGTAACACTTGAGAATGTTAGTTTATACTCATAAGAAAAGCATCATTATCATGAATTAGTTCACATATTTAAATGATTTTCTTTTAACGTTGTACTTTGAATTTATTTTGCAGAACTGAGAAGAATAAAATGGTTTGACAAGAATGACTTGTATTTATAAAGAATATTTCATTTACTCCAAGTATAATCGATCGATGATGTAAACATATAGAAGACATTTATTAAACATATATTTTGTCAAATCCATTGTAATGTTTGTTGCATACAGCCACTAGACTAACAAGATTATTCGATAACAAGGATATAGTATCAAAAGTCTTTAAATACAAACAATTATCTTGGTGATCATATCAGAGATGTACAATATTGTAAATGATTTGGTTAAGTTAAATAGATTTTCGTTATTGGTATCCATTACCAAGGTTCAACTTGATAGTTTCAAATAAATTGATTAAGGAGTTAATAATAAATATATTTTTGTTATATCCAAATGAATAGAAAAATTACTCTGAAGAAATAGCTTCAATTAAATTATGAAACATCAGAAATACAATTTATTATTAGCTTTTCATTATAATTTTAATAATTCAATCGAATTTTTTTATAAACGTCCATTCATATTGTTATTGATATATTAGTAATAACAAGTAATATAATAAAAGAACAATAAAGAAATTCATTATAATATGAATACATTTCTTATTATATCAATACATAGTTTGTCAATCAATAATAAAACTTAATACATTAACAATACACGCAACAATTCTATTTTTTAAATGTTCATTACTCAATTTAACTTAAAAAAAATAAAAGAAGAAGAAGGAACAAAACCCATTCTTAAAAGGTCATTTTAACTACCTTAGAAATTTAATCCATTTTATATCTTAATCATTACATATAGCCGTCAATCTAGTTAATGTTTTTATTGTTTTTTTCTTTTTTTTAATTTTACAATTCTTCATTATTTATATTGAATTTTGATAAGGAATCGGAGAGGAGCAGAATAAAGCCTAAAGTGATATATTTTCAATTATCTTACTAGATGAATTGTTTTAATGGTACTTAGTTATTCAATTTGTAGTCAGTTTGTTATAAGCATATAGTTCACTACCAACTGAGGTTTCTTTTTTATCTGTTACATATGTTATCGGAGTTTATGAATTATAAATGAATATATGTTTTTCTCCTTTCATCAATTATTGACAATTACAATTATTTTAATAGTTGAGATTATGAGTCAATTGAAGCTAGATCGCCATGAAAAGCTGGAAGCACTGGACGGCCGTTTCGTTGTATTGTGGAATTCCTCAACAGTGTGCACGCACGAGGATCAAACACAGAACCTATCGGTTTCGCACGCGAACGCCTAACCTCCAGACCAGCCGGAATCCAACGGTGTTAGTGTCTAACTTCAACTAATCCACGAAATTGAGCGACACATCCACCATTGTTATCAGTGATTTGTTATCTCAAAACAAACTCGGTTGAACTCCACTGGTCATGGCTTTATATACTGGGACGAAATAGCCATCCAGTGCTTCCAGGTTTCCATGGTGGTCTAGCTTCAATTGACTCATGATCTCAGCTATCAAATTGCTATAATATTCACAAAAGCCCCTCTGACACTAATTACAATTATGTTTCGAATAAATTCTACAATATAATCAGATAGGGGATTGGCCATTTTGGTTAATTTGTACGAGACATGACTTCATTTTGGTCAAAATTTTGAACTATAATATATGTAAAT